ACACACACACACACACACACACACACACACACACACACACACACACACACACACCTGAATTTCTACAGATATGAGAGTGGTGAGCTAATATGACAGAAAACATATCTGATGATTCTAATCCTTGTCAATGGAATCTCCACGTGAACCTGTTCACAAAAACACCGGACCAGGAAGCAGCTGTTGCTTCTCGACTTGGACTTAACGCTGATGGGTGTTCTTGAGCAAGCTAGCTCACTTTCTGAACCTCACTTCCAGGCCAGGTGGTTTCAAGGAGCCCTAGGACAGTTTTCTTTGGGATTTACCTTGAAGTTGCCATCTGCTGGCTGCTGCACTGGGTCACAATCATTCCGCCTTGTGACATTAGATGTGACCTTCTGGAGGATGTCCCCTCCTATTTTATGTATTGGTTGTCCGTTTCATGAAGCGAACCCTTAGGGGGAATATTCTCATTGAGAACCACATTCCAACATTTTAAGAGTCAGTCCCTAGGGGAAAAAAAAAAGAACCCATGAGAATAAGAGATATTAGAAAGTAATTCTTTAAACAGTTAGAACAATATTCTGTAAGCTTTGAATTTGGCCTCCCTTGTGAAATCTTAGATTCTACCAATCCTCTTCTCAGCATAGACTAACTGGAGGGCCTTTGTCCTTTGGACACACAGGTTGCTGTATTTTCTGTGGAATTTCTGGGATCAGAAGTATAGCTGATTTTAGATTTTTTTCAGATTTTGGAATATTTGTGATGTCTTAGCTGTGGGTTTCATGTCTGAACATGAACTTCATCTGTTTCATATAATACATCCTATGCATCGGCTCAAGGTCGTTTATGTAATTTTTAGTGTGCCTGCATTTCCAGCTCATCCCACGAGGCCAGGGGAAGAGTTCTCTACTTGTGATGTCATGTCAGCATTCAAAACGTTTTGAATTTTGGAACCTTTATATTTTCTACTTTTGGCTTAAGAATGTCCTATCTGTACTAGGTTCGCATCTAGGACATAGTGAGAATTCAAATGATTCTCTCTGGAAAACCACAAATGTGTCAATCCCCAGAAATCTCATGTTCTAATAAGGAAGTAAGGACAGCAGTTTGAGTTCATAGTCTATGTGTCATTTCAGGCATACAACTAATAAGACATGTTTGCTCTTCTGTACACAGATGCAGAAACTAGACATCAACTTATATAACAAATGAAGAGTTTCATACCCTCATCAAAACCAAAACAGATATAGCATCTTCAAGTGTAAATTGGTGACTAGATAACTTATTGTCAGTCACTGTTTTGAGAATTTTCTTTCCTTTTTTTTTTTTTTTGATGTTTTTGGTTGTGAGTCTAGCCTTTTAAATGGCTGAACTATCTCTCCAGCCCAAATTTTTGATATTTTAATTATGTCATTTTAATCCCTTTCTTCCTTCCAAATCTTCCCATATTGCCTTGCTTCCTTTATTCTCTTTCAAATTCATGGTCCCTATTTTTGTTATTACATATATATGTGATATGTATATGTGAGAATATATCACACACACACACACACACACACACACACACACACACACACACACACACTCACACGTGTACATTCCTAAATGCATAATGTAACCTGTTTAGTCTGTATAATGTTACTTGTATGTATGCGTTTTCAGGGCTGACCACTTAGTATTGGGTAACTAGTTGAAACGCTCTTCCCTAGGGAAGAACATTTCTTCTGCTCTCAGCGTTCCTCAGTTGCCTGTAGTTCTTTGTCCAAGGTTGAGGCCTCCTGAGCTTTCCCCTTCCCAGGTTAGCATGTCTGCTGGTATCATCCTTGGTTAGGTGGCTATGTTGGTGAGATTTCATGGGTATAGCTTCTGACATTCATGGGAGACACAATCTCACAGCAAACTTTGTGCTTCTCTGGCTTACAATATTTCTGTTCCTCCTCCTTCAATAATCCCTGGGCCTTAGATGTAGGAGTTGTGTTGTAGATGGATCAGATGGAACTGGGCTCACAGCCCTGCACTTTGATTGGTTGTGGTTTTCTTTGATGGTCTCTGACTATTGCAAAGAGGAGTTTCTTTGATGAGGAGTGAGGACTGGAGCTGTGTGTGGGTATGAGGACGAATATTTAGAATCTATTCTCAGAACTCTCAAGCATCACCTGTAATAATTTTATCTTTAAAAAAATCTTACAGATGCATCCATGAATTCCAGCTTTTCCAGATAGATACAAAAAAATCTAAAAAGCAAAACAAAAAAGAAAACAATCTCGGAATACATTCAGAACATTTCCCAGTCCCTACATTCATTTGATAGTGGTGCACACACTAACAAGATAAAACCCTAGATAGTTTCATTCACAGTTAAAATGAGGATTAGACCAATTATCTTAGAGTTAGTGAATTTAAAATTATGATATAATCCATAGCCACTCTTCCCCGGATCACTGTATTGGGGATAATGTGGCTCACTTAGAAGGCAATTTGAGAACTTCTGAAGGCAGGCATTATTACCTTCTCCAGCATACTATACTTTAAGCCACTAATTTGTATTTATTTAAATGCAACTGATCAATTCAGGTGATGGTTTTAAAATGGAAACTGCACTAGCGAGTCCTCTATACATCTCATTACTAGTCACCATTGGAAGACCATGAAATTCTCCTGTAGCAGTAAAGTTAGGGATGGTAAACTAGAGACTGAGCATCAGAACGGAGAAAGTCATTTGATGTTCCCTGGAAACTTATGCTGCTTTCCCCCTAATGATCCAAATTCCTCTTCTGAAATGCTGCTCTCATGTGGTAGGACCCCATATCTTACGTGTTACTTTCTTTGACTCATGTTGGAAAAGTGGCAGAGTCCTTTTGGGATTCCTGCCAACTTAAGTCATTATATGACTTGCACAGCTCTTGCCCTGTAATAACTGTATTGTAGATTGGCAGAGCAGTCCAAATGTCTCCCAGCAGTTCCTGCCCCAACCCACCCGGGTACGATGTCTCCATGGTGCCTTTGCACTGAAGGAAGCTGTCAGTTCTTCACGGGTTTTTCTTCCCTAGCATATATTTCATCTTGCTTATAACTTCAGAAAACACTTTTATATGTACTTATGTGAGATAGAAAAAGTTGTAGGAGGTGAGAGGACAAAGAAACACGAATCCTCCAGCTAGGCAGAAATTACAGAGCTGAGAGAAATAAAAATGGCACATAGGCCCCAATGCAGATATCTGATGTGGTAATTGAGGCAGAGAAAATAGCATGAATACGCAACCGTGGGAGAGACTAAGTTTATACTTTGAGATCCTGGAGGACCAATTTGGAAGCTGTTCTTGCTGCGTTCAGGGAGAGGCTTGAAATGAGGACTTTCGATGACTTGGTAGACATGTGTCACAGTAAGTGACTACTTAGCATCTTTGGAAGACCTTTTCTAAGTCTGTTAAGGTCTGACCTGTAAGCCCTGATTCCCCAGGGAAGAGGCCACAGGGAGAATCCTGGAACTGAACATCTCATTGGTGCACTGAAATTCAGTATGGGATCTGGGCTCCACCAAGAAAGGGGGAGAGCCTGAATGGAGCCAGCTTGTTCTGGTGAAGAAAATGGTTCAGAGAAGCAGCAGTGGGGCTGGGAGGGGGGCTCGTTTGGTAAAATTCCTTCCATATAAGCATGAGGACTTGAGTTCAAATCTCTAGTACCCACAATAAACACTGGGCACTTTCCTCTGTAGCCCCAGTGCTGGGGTGGGTTATATATATGCAGATCTTTGCAGTTCACTGACTAGCCGGTCTTGC